GGATTAAGTACGTCATGAGATTCTCACGCTTCCAATTCTGCACTTTGATAAAAAAATTTTTTGCTATGCTGAGATTATCAAAAAGATCCACAATTAAATGGAAATCCAGCCAGGGTTAATCTCAGAAGATGAGAAACGTCTAAAGATGGTTGCCTTTTGTTTTGTTTTATTAAATATTTCCACTAAACTGGAGATGAATGAAAAAGGGCCCAAGGATTTATATCTGAGTCTTTATTCATACGAAAATAATATTTATGGTCTTTGGAGACAAACGCTGTCCCTGTAAATTAGTAAACCATAATCTCTCTCTTATTTACATATTACAGAAAACAAAACAAAAAAAGTCTGAGCCAAGTGTAAGAAGGGGAATTTGCTGCGATAAATGAGACTTTAGTTTAATTTGTTCCAGTAACTAGCTAAAGTGCTGAGACAGAAGACTATAGAAATGGAATGACTAAATAAAAATAAATAAAATTATCTAGTTAACTCTGGCTGCTCACAGAAGCTAAGCAGAGTCATCCTTGGTTACTGATTGAATAGGCTATCATTAGGAAATATCAGGCCCATAATTAATTAATATTTAGATTAATATAATCTAAAAATATAATCTAAAAATTCCACATGTTAAGAAAAATGCATGAGGACAGCTAAAGGTGAAGTTTCCCCTGGCGTTCCTGACTCTAGGTTGCTGTACTCATCTCCGTTTCAAAGCTGAAGAGCCCGCGCTTTCCGAAGACGTCTCCGTGGTCATGTGGCCAGCATGACTAAACACCGAAGGCGCATGGAACGGTCCTATCTTCCCACCAAAGGTGGTTCCTATTTTCCTACTTGCATTTTTTACATGCTTTCAAACTGCTAGATTGGCAGAAGCTGGGACAAGTCACGGGAGCTCACCTCCGTTACGCGGCGCTAGGGATTCGAACCGCCGACCTTTCTGATCAACAAGCTCAGCATCTTAGCCACTGCGTCCTATTTATGGAGACAGCTACAAAGTGCCAAACGTGTTTAGTTTTTGTATGTTGCAAATAGTCCTCGTCTTACTACATTCATTCAATGACCTTTTGAAGTTACAATGGGACTGAAAAATGTGATTTAGGACCATTTTTCACACTTAATCCCAGTGGTCACATGATCAAAATTCAGATGCTTGGCAACTGGTTTCACATTTATGACTGTCGTGGTGTCCTGGGGGTTGTGGGATCTTCTTTTGCGACCTTCTGACAAGCAAAGTCACTGGGGATGGCAGGTTTAATAACTTAATTTAACTTAACAACTGCAGTGATTCACTTAGCAACGCTGGCAAGGGTTATAAAATGGAACAAAACTCACTTAACAACTGTCTCACTTAGGAACAGAAATGTTGGGCTCAGATGTGGTCATAAGTGGAGAACTACCTGTACATTTATTAATACATCTACTCCAAGCATGGATCTTATTATCAAAATCTGAATTCTAAGGATAAAAAAAACCCACTGTTAAATCCTGGTCTATTATATGCCTTCTTTCGCTCAGCACAATATGTGATCTTCATTCTTGTGGGTTGTGAATCATGGTTTAAAGTTTGTTATGTAATGTATGCAACTAAACTACAGTTTAGGCCAGCGGTTGGCAACCCACGGCTATGGAGCCGCATGTGGCTCTTCCATCCCTCTGCTGTGGCTCCCTGTTGCCGATCGGCTCTACAGTTGATAGGGCTTTTGGTTAGGACAGGTAGAGGAAAAAGGATGCCACACTAGGAGGAGACTCTATGGTGGTGGGGGGGGGGGAGGAACCGGACTTCCGGTTGGCAGAGGAAAAAGGACGCTGCGCTAGGAGGAGACTCTATGGATGGGGGGCTTCCGGTTAGGACCTTTGTGTCCCTTTGAGTGTTTAAAGTTGCCGATCTCTAGTTTAGGTCAATGCTGAAACCCTATTATGAAGCTCAGGAGGGTTAACAGGTACGAGAGGAGCAAACTGTCAGATGAACCAATCGAAGAAAGCTCAGATTAGGATGTTAGTCCTCAGGAAGTTGCAACCATGTGCTTTTACAAAGACTGGTGCCAACAAGCCATGATTCCTTGGTACTTACTTCCTCCAAATGTTCCTCGCCTGAGGCCTACATTGAAAAAAAAACACCCTATCTGTTAGCTGCACCTCTCAGAAATGCAACTGGGATCTTCACAGAACTTTGAATCCTCTCTCCTTCCTGGAAAGGGTACTTGGATCTAATGGGTCAAAGGTTTCGCAGTGTGGTTATAACTTTAGCCAGAGGGACGTGGAAAGCAGAAAATGGGTCAATTTTTTTCCTAGCAAGAGTTATCCCAAGAAGAACAGTGTCACAAGAGAGACAAGGAACAGTGTCAACTCACAAAGCGTCCCTGGCCAGCTCTCGAGTTGCCATAGAAAGGCAGCAAAAGACAGATGCACATTACAGACTTATCTCTCCCAAGGCTGTATCCCAGGGTTACTTACAACGGCCGGAGGGGAGTGATCACTACAACCTGCGAAATTACCCCATTGGCAAATGTGATTGATGACACACCTGGGGGGGGAGGGGGGAGGAAACTGGGTCATGATTGGAGCCGTAAATTACCGTATTTTTCAGAGTATAAGACCCACCTTTTTCCTCCTAAAAGAAGGTGAAAATTTGAGTGCGTCTAATACACTGAATGTAGCCCCACACACCCACCGTCCCAACCCTTTGGCCTCTGACTTCCAGCAATTTACCTCCTTGCAGCAAATGGGGAAAATGGGGCTTGTGGAGGCTGCAATAGGCTATAGCAATCCCTGCAGCCTGAAACAGCTGATGATCGGAAGGCACACTTAAACTGAAAGTGAAACTTGTTGCTTGCTCCAGGTGGCAAATTTCTGGGAGGCAGAGCCAGATATTTTTTTTCTTACTCTAGCCAGGCTGTTTGCTGCAAGGAGGTAAGTAAATAACTATAAATGCCTATAGAATGTTCAAATTATTAGACTTATTTTTAAAGACTGCTTTATTATTGTTCTAAACAACTTAACAAAATGAAGAAGCTTTTTAAAATAAATGCTTGATCTGAAGAGACCCAGTGCTATTGTATCTTTTTTTTAAATAGCAGAGAATAACTATACTTCCAGAAAGCACATCAATTTTAGCAGCCTCTGTACAAGTATAGTCTGAAATGTAACACTACAAATAGTGTATATTGTCTGCACTGTTTGCTGTTTGTTGCAAGGAGGCAAATTGCTGGGAGGCAGAAGCAGATTTCCCTCCCACCCAAAAGCTAGGTGCTTCTTATACTTAGGAGCGCCTTATACTCTGAAAAATATGGTACATGGGTTCGGAGCTGGCTTCACTTGGGAATGTTGCTCCTAATAGATAATTGGGTTTCTTTTGAAGCTTGAGGCTCATGATTTAATTAGGGCATGTCAGAACCCTGACAAACAGATCCAAAGATAAAACAGGGTGAAGAAATAAGGTATGAGATCCCAAAGGTGTTTTTTTTTTTCCAAAAGGCAACTGGACTTTGTTTTTCCTTGAAGAGGTTTTGCTTCTCATCCAAGAAGCTTCTTCAGTTCTGAAGAACTTGAAGTTCTTCAACTTCAAGAAGATTCTTGAATGAGAAGTGAAACGTCTTCAAGGAAAAACGAAGTCCAAAACTTTGGGGAAAAAAAACACCTCTGGGACAACCATGACCTATATGACTGAGAATCTCCACGGACCATGAGATGGGGGAAGAAGACCTTTTCTGAGGACAAGAAGCCAAACCTCCCTTCCCAGAAGCTAATCTCCAGAATGGCCCATGGACAGGGAAACTCCCCATGGGAATGTCATGTTCCTATCACTGCAAAAGATAGCATAGAAAGAGATGTTCAAGCTTGGTGACTTTATGACTTGTGGCCTTCAATTCCCAGAATTCCTCAGCATGGCTGGCTGAGGAATTCTGGGAGCTGAAGTCCACAAGTCTTAAAGTCTTACTTGTGGCCTTCAATTCCCAGAATTTCTCAGCGTGGCTGGCCGAGGAATTCTGGGAGCTAAAGTCCATAAGTCTTAAAATCTTACTTGTGGACCTCAATTCCCAGAATTCCTCAGCGTGGCTGGCTGAGGAATTCTGGGAGTTAAAGTCCACAAGTCTTAAAGTCTTACTTGTGGCCTTCAATTCCCAGAATTCCTCAGCGTGGCTGGCCGAGGAATTCTGGGAGTTGAAGTCCATAAGTCTTAAAATCTTACTTGTGGCCTTCAATTCCCAGAATTCCTCAGCGTGGTTGGCCAAGGAATTCTGGGAATTGAAGTCCACAGGTCATAAAGTCGCCAAGGCTGGACATCACTGGCATAGAAGGTCTGCAAGATGACCAACATTTCTATGGGCATCTGACTTTAACTGATCTGAAGACACCATGAATTACAAAACTATTAATATTTTATTTGAGTTTCAACAGAGAGAGATGAAACAGTTTTCTGGTTTTTTTATTGTCGTAAGAACTCATAGCTGCTTCTAAAGCTCAGACTAGAACTCACCATCTCCTGGTGATTGATACAAAATAATCCAGCCAGTTTTCATGCGTAAGGTAGGACTTGAATTCACAGTCTCCTTGCTCTAGCCAGATGCCTTAACTACTAAACTAAACTGTCTCTAAACATGCTTTAACTTCCAGAATGAACTCTTGGTTCAATTCATGGCTTCAGTCTGGTTGACATCCTTCTCAAACAATCATGGAGAATCAGAATCAGAATTAATCAAACACCATTAGTAACAGAATAGAACAGAGTTGGAAGGGACCTTGGAGGTCTTCTAGTCCAACCCTCTGCCTAGGCAGGAAACCCTATACCATTTCGAACAAATGGTTGTCCAATCCCTTCTTTAAAACTTCCAGTGTTGGGGCATCCACAACCTCTGGAGGCAACTTGTTCCATTACTTAATTGTTCTCACTGTCAGGAAATTCCTCCTTAGTTCTAAGTTGCTTATCTCCTTAATTTGTTTCCATCCTTTTTGCCCTGCCTTCAAGTGAATAAGAACAACAAACAAGGAGAGCTTCTTCTTACCTTGGCTAACCGACTCATCTTGTCTTCTGAAAATGTACTGCTTGTTTTCCCAGGGGTCTTGGTGGGCTCGGAACCATCTGCCTCCACGTTGGGCCACACTTTGAGATCGTGCATCCCTTGACGGAACATCCTATGAATGGAAGGCAGATTTAGAGAGACCGCTAGAGTGGAGTGGAGTGGAGTGGAGTGGAGTAGAGTACAATAATATGGAATGGAATAGAATAGAATAATATTTAATGGAATTAAATGGAATGGAATGGAATAATATGGAATGGAATAGAATGCAGTGCAGTGCAGTGCAGTGGAGTAGAGTAGAGTAGAGTAGAGTAGAGTAGAGTAGAGTAGAGTAGAGTAGAGTAGAGTAGAGTAGAGTAGAGTAGAGTAGAGTAGAGTAGAGTAG